AAAGACTTTTTTCAGGCTTTTAAAAATGTTGAGGCCAGGAAAGCCAGGTGATAAAATCCTGTGTCGATGCATGTGAAGCGACGGACTGATTTGACTTTTGCCTCTGGAAGTAGGCCTACTTTTCTTTTGGTCTATAAACTCATTTTTATTGTTCCAAAATAGCCTGTGTTTTGCACTATTTTATTACCATAATCCTTTTGTATTCAAAATTTTAAAAAATTTAAGTAATGGAAAAACAAAACAAAACCAAAGACAGATTTGCCTTATTTAACTTTTTTTTTTTTTAAAGTGGCGACAAAAATTTAAAATTGACAAGGCTATTGTTACGTAATTACATATAATGTAGACTACGCTGACTTGACATTGGGGTGGGGGTAGAGGGCTCTCGTGGTCTATCTCCGTCGGAGACGTCTCCGGGTACATAATATTGTGTTGATCAAACATGTGTGTTTTTCTACTTAGGATATAATACCTTTCAAGCCTAGGTTTGACCCTGACAGGTAAAACAACGCCAACCCTCTTCATAAATAAATGATGAACAATTTGAGAACAGTGACGTAAAGCCTTAAATCAGCCAATAAAAATAGTAATTCACTTTCAGAACCTTTTTCTAGAATATGAGCGTCGTGATTATGAGAGTTCAAAATCGGTACATGAGCAGTTACATTCTGTTACTTTCATTCTCCATTCTATTACAGAAAACCAGTGGGGGGTTTTCACGTATAATAATAATATGTCACATTCCAAGAGCATTTTACTACATAAACACAGCTGGGTCTTTCTTGTTACATTCTCGTCTTGTCCTTTATTATGCCTAAAAACTCCTCCCTTTGATGCTGATTCAACTAAAGTTTCAAGTCGACTTGGGTTTATTTACAATTGAGTTCCGTCTTCTATGGTGACCCAGTACTAAGTCTGATCGTTCGTTTTTAACCCTATCTGAACGTCGTGTTTTACTGTCGTATCCGTACGACGTGGGGAACTCTGTGCTACCACTTAACCCTATCTGTATGTCGTGTTTTACTATCGTATCCATACGACATGGGGAACTCTGTGCCACCACTTAACCCTATCTGTACGTCGTGTTTTACTATCGTATCCATACGATGTACGGAACTCTGTTCCACCACTTTCCAAAACGGAAATTTACTCGTTAATCCGTACGCTTTGCATAGCAGTCTGTCAAAATGATTTTTTTTTATTTATTTTTTTTGGGGGGGGGGATACTGAACGTTTCAAAGAGATCTTCATACTAAAAGTATTCTAAAATGTGAAGAATACAACATCGGGGGTACAAAATGACCCCAGGGAGTGCGGATAGGGTTAAGGCTGGCTGGAGCCATCTGAATACTTCTTCAGTTCTGTGATCCCTAAAAAGTTTGGACAAGACGGAACCACTAGGTGAAAACAGCAACCACTGTAGGGAAAACACTGGTTAAGTGGATACTGTGGGGCCGGGGACCGCGGGGAAAATAAACATTGTCCCTAAAGGAAGGCGAATTTCTTTATGCTTAATGGGGTGTTGGGAGGAGGGAGAGAGTGAGTGAGAGTGAGGAGGAAGAATACAGAGAGAGATGGAGAGAGAGAGAGAGAGGTGGGGAGAGAGGGAGAGAGAGA